AGAGCATGTTTCAGTGTCTCTTCTGACATCCATTTTGACCTTTCCCTTCTTTATTGTCTTCTCAATGACTTTCCAAAAATGGAAAATATGGAAAAATACTCAATATTTTTCAAGATAATATCACAGTTCATTTTGGAGGAAATGCCAAAAGCTGAATATTCCAGTTTATTCAATGATTTTGTCAAATCTTAGTTTTTTTCTCACTGATGGATTCCTTAGCACATGCATATGTGAGAAATCATTAACCCTTGGGCAGAATCTCCATTTCTTCTATCTGGTTGAACGCTATCTTGTGGATCTTAAGAATAAAGGAGGACATTTTACAATCATTTTCTTCAAGGATGCTGAGGATGCTTATATCAATTTTTTGAACTTCTTCCTTTGAGAAGTGCTTTAATTCTTCATCTTCAACATAATACTAACATTGATGTTCGAACTGAATTTTCAGGATGCTTATCTCAAGAGTGGAAACGTTTTCTGCAAGAGAGTTACCCATATTTCCTGATAGTTTCAGACAAAGGCCTGAGTTATGTACAGACATATCTTTTCAATTTTTGATCATACATTCTTGGGCAATGAAGGCCTATGTTGTACTTCCTTCTGGGCAATCACAGACTATTCTCTGACTTTATGCTTACCTTATGCCAAGCAAGAATAGAAACCAGACATTCTTCAAAAAGCTAATTATGTCAAAAACAATTATCTCCTGGATTTTGTAAATTTTTCTAAACAATGACTAGATTTTCTTTCTTCTATGAAATTTAGATCTTTTAGGTAAATTACCACCAAATGTCCACCACTCATCTGTCAGTTTTTCATACTGTGGTGGCTTGTAAGTTGCTGTGATTCAGAAAGCTATGCCACCGGTATTTTAAATACCAGCAGGATCACCCATGGTGGACAGGTTTCAGATGAGCTTCTAGATGAAGACATACTAGGAAGAAGGAGTGATGAACTACTTCCAAATATTTGGTCACTGAAAACCTTATGAATAGCAGAGAAACACTGTCAGATA